GGATCTTATTTCTCCCAACTTGATCTTGCAAATGAAAAGAAATTGGCTGCAGAAAGTTCGGAGGATGTTTGGCAGAAAAAGCATAATACCTCAGTTTCAGATGGAACAAAAGAAGGGAGCAGTGAATCGAAAATACCGAGACGAGGAGAAGAAGATGCAGATTCTCAGACAATGATCTTAAAAGATCCTTACGAAACCCCTTTCAAAAGTTTGATCAATGAATTACATACTGAGTGGCGTACTCGTGAGGTATGGAGCCTGATAAAAGAAGATATGTATGGAAACTTAATGAAGGAAATGGAAAATGAAGAGTGCAAGAAAATTGGAAGTGAAAAGATTGAAGCCAAGATTAGAGAAAACTTATACTATACGGTCTTCAGTCAGGCAATAAAGGATCTTCTCAGTAGCCTTCATGATTCTACATTAAACAAAGAGCGGTTAGCAAAAGAAGCTTACGGAAACTTAGTCAACGAAATAGTAAATGAAGAGAGCAAGAAACTTCAAAAATACAAGAGTGACGCCAAGATTAGAGAAGACGTATATTTCACAGTCTTAAGTGAGGCCATAAAGGATCTTCTCATCAGCCTTCATGATGCTGCAGTAAATGAAGTGAGCCTTAAAAAAGAAGATATGTACAAAAACTTAATCAAGGAAATTACAAATGAAGAGAACAAGAAAATTGAAAGTTGCAAGATTGATGCGAAAATTAGAGAAGACATATATTACAAAGTCTTCAGCAAGGCAACAGAGGATCTTCTCAGCAGCCTTCATGATGTTGCATTGGAAGATTATCACAGCTATGAGGCTAAAAACAAACGCCTACAAGATGCATTGTCTGATGAGAAACTGATGGCTGATTTAAGGGATGATGTTTACACAACAATATTGAGGGAGATGTACAAGGAGTGGAAGGAGAGTATAGAAATTAATAACGATGAAGGTCTTTTTAGACAAGAGATGAATCGCATAGTTTTCAGTGCAACAATCAAAGATGTGGTGAGCAATGCCAATTGCACGCTACATGAATTCCAAAGGATCAGAGTTCCTGAGAATTCCAAGTACAAAATAAATGAAAAACTAGCGGTGATTTCTTCCAGGTACTGTTATTTTACTGATGAAATTACTTGCTAAGGCCTGAATTTAGTTAACTTGATCTTCTTGTAGAATGTTTATATCTTTTGCAGGCACGTACTTAGAAATCAGACTCAAATTATTTTGCGTAACAAATACATGTTGACACGGCTTTGTCTTGTTTTTGGCACAAGTTACCATTCAAGAAACAAAATTAAATCTAAAAGTACAAGCTTATTTAGCAGATTCTTGTCTGAATTCCTTACAGGTTGGAAAATTTCAAGCTCCAATTACATCCACTAGTCCAACATGCTACCTTGCTAGAAGAAGGAGTCACTTTACAGGACAGCATTTACGAAGAGATGTGAGAATCTTCAAAGGGCGGAAGCTGAGGTTCTCATCTAAACCAAACTGACAAAATGGCATTTTATGCAGCAGCCAAATTTATCGTTAACATGTTAAACTGTTTGCTGAAGAGTTTTTACATACCTGCAGGTGGATGTGCTGGGTGATCAAGTTGATAAGCTTACGGGATTACTTAAGAAGACGTATCTTACTCTGCATCAACAATCACCATTTTTGAAGTCTTCCGAGGTGAGCAAAATCCTCGTTTTTTTTTTCTTATTTACCATTTAATTGAAAATTCTTGTGTATTTCAAACGATTTCACAAAAATTACTTAAATTTTCCAAACATCATTAACATCAGTTTTGATGGGCTGATGTTCTTGCTCAGGTACTAGAGATTTTGAAGTTGATCAAGCAAGAAGTACTCATTTGAACCTTGTAACAACACGAAACTCTCTGCTCTTTTTTCTTTGGGAAATTCATTTTCTCCAAACAGATTAGTTAGATTGACTTAAAACAATCTGCATGGGAGAGAAATACTGCGCCTATTTTCTTCTTCACGGTTTCTTGCATTAGGAGGGGTGTCATCCATGGGACTCTGCTTTGGCCCTCTCTTGTCCTGCTCTGTTTTTTTTATCTCTGTATGTAATCTGTTTAGGACTCTAATGCATTATTTGTATCAGATTAGACAACACTCAGTATCTTCATCTCTAGGATATGGATCTCAAATCTCAATCAATATTTGATAAATGACAAATCATAAATACTTATATTATATATAACGATTAAGTTAAATTATTTATTTACAAAGCGGGTGTTTGAGAGAATTATAATTTGTACTATAAATTTTAAAATTAACTTTTGAGATTTTAAACATAAATTGTTCATTAAAAGTTAAAATTATCTTACGAAGATTACATTAAATTCTACGAAACCAGTGTCGGACTATGGTTTTTACGGAAAAACACTCTTTATTTACATATTTGGTTGCTCCAAACAAGACGAAAAACGAAAATTGACTTCTTTTTAAGTGTTTATTTATCTTTATATTAAATGAAAATACAATATTGAATAGAGAAAAATTAAAAGTATGGTATAATAATACAAAACTTAATGATTTTATGTGTTAAGGATAAGAACCAAAAAATAATGAAATATAAAATTAACAATGAAAAGATATGATTGTATGGTATAAAATTAAAATTAAATTCTAAAATTAAAGTTAATTATAACAATAAAAAGATATATAAAACATTTATTAATTATTAATTATTAATTATTAATTATTCTTACTTAAGGGCGTAAAATCTGTGTTTGACCAAAATTAAGATTTGTTCGCGTCAGGTCAAACTTGGGGATTTTTATAATGATTTTTGAAACTGGAAATTATTAACAAGTGAACGCCCAATTTTGTCCCTTCCACCTCCTCTGTCCTTATTAGGGTTACCGTTGGGGAAGATAGAGGGAGCGACACGGCACCGCCATTTCGTCAATCGTCTTTATCGACAAGAAGAACAAGGCGACGGAGAAAACAGAAATCCTGGAACAAATCTAACAAGGTTAGGAGAAATCGAGACGGCGGGATTTTTGAATGACGAAGAATGAACAACAGCAGCGATGGGAGTGCGGAGCCTGCGGGTTGGCCGAAAGGTGGCTCCTCCACTCGGTCCGCCAGCGAGGGGTTTACCGGAGACTCTGCACCGACTGCGTTCTCAAGAGCCATCAAGGTCTGTTCTGTCCTCTCTGCCTCAATGTCTTCGAGGACTCTCCTCCGCCTCCTAATGCTCGCCTCATTTGCTTGAACTGTCCTTCGATCACTCATCTCTCCTGCTCTCCTTCTTCTTCTTCCTCTTCCTCCTTCCTCTGTCCTCCGTGCTCAAAACCTAATTTCTCCTTCTTTCCGATATGCTCTTCCGTGCCCGATTCGGCCTTAGATCGTCATTCTGGCCAGCGAGTCATCGATAAGAACTCCGCCAAGGCGCTTTTAGCGGCTGCTAAGATCTCTGGGATTTCGATGACTAAAGCGGCTGTAGTGGCGCGGGTTGAGGCCGAGAGGAGGGTGAAAGAGGCTGCTTTGGCCAAGAAGAGAGCCAGAGAGGCACTAGAGAAACTCGCCCACTTGGCCGCCAGTGATAAGGCTGCTAACAAAGAATCACCACGTAAGCTCAACAATGGAAATGGCAGCAGCAACAACCACAAGGCTTTCAACAGCTCGCGATAAGATTTGAGGACGTGAGTTTTTTATTTTAACACTAGAAATTTAATATTCTCCTTTTTCACGTGGATGGCTGTAGAAATGAGGTTTATGCTTCTAATTACTTCTGACCACTTGTGGGTCTTTCATTCAATGCTTGGAAATGAAAAGAAGAGGATAGGATATTTTTAATGGCTTAATGTGGAAAAGTAGGTTCATGAATATGAAAAAGTGAAGTGATTATCAAAGACATCTAAAATTTAGATTAGATAGCGACTATTAAGATTGATATGGATCGAAATTGATGTGTTAGTTTGTAATTTTTGGGATGGTTAATAAAGACAGGCTTCTAAATGCACTTATATGTCATTCAATATCTCACAATCTATCTCATTTATACTTATATTAGAAAGGCTAGGAAAGGAAAAGCTATTACTGGATGGAGAAAGGAGCCGGTGTGCTCCGAAAAGGGCGGAAGAGGGTAATCTTCATGGGTTTATAGGTCCTGCTGTTGATAAAGACAGGGGTCTAAATGCACGTATATGTCATTCAATATTTCATAATCTATTAATGCTTACATTAGAAAGGCTAGGAAAGGAAAAGCTATCACTGGATGGAGAAAGGAGCCGGTGTGCTCTCAAAAGGGCGGAGGAGGGGAATCTTCATGGGTTTATAGGTCCTTATGTTAGTAAAGACAGGTGTCTAAATGCACTCATACGTCATTCAATATTTCCTAATCATATCTCATCTATACTCATATTTGAAAGGCTATGAAAGAAAAAGCTATTACTGGATGGAGAAAGGAGTTGGGATGCTCGGAAAAAGGCAGAGGAGGGGAATCTTCATGGGTTTACAGGTCCTTTCGTTAATAAAGAAAGGTGTCTAAATGCACTCATATGTCAGTCAATATTTCACAATCATATCTCATCTATATTCCATATTAGAAAGGCTATGAAAGGAAAAGCTATTACTGGATGGAGAAAGGAGTTGGGATGCTACGAAAAGGGCGGAGTGGGGGGAATCTTAACAAGTTTATAGGTCCTGTTGGAGTAGAACTAAAATGCTAGAACTTTTAGCAAAGGTCTCAGTCAGCTCATGTTATTTGGGAATATATTGTTCCTTGCTTCAGTTTCTCTTTGGATTAAGGTTCGTTTAGGGGATGTCTTTATCCATGATGCTAAGGAACTGGATGCTATTTTATCTTAATGCATCTCCTTTCTTTTCTTTATTCTTTTGCTGACACTTTTTGTGCTGCAGGATATCTTATTCTCCCCATCTTGTTTGTAACTCCTCTTACTTCTTAATAATTTTTCTATTTTTATTAAGAAAAAAAATTAGAAGGGAGAGCTAATGCATAATTCATAGGTCTGATGAATTCACTGAAGTGTTGGGTTGCATCCATATTACGATGGCTATGGAAGAGAGAACTATTGTGTTATCCACTTTATTGAGATAGCTATGAAGTAGCAGATTACTGTAATTAATTGGTCCAATGAGTTAATCAAAGTGAAGTTGGTGCATTTGTTTCAAGTTTTCCTACCCACTACATTAGGAAGGGAATGAAAGTGGGAGCTATAGCTATTGCGTTACTCATCATCCGATGAGTTAAGTTAGTCTATATATTTCAGAAGAACTTGGATTGAGTTCCGAAGATTTTGAAAGATAGTGAGCTACTTCCCATTACGCAACTCATGGACCCCTTTATGGACCAAAACATAATTTGTTTTTCCCTGAGCAGATATTAACTAAGCTACACTTGTGCTAGATATGCAGCTGATGGTCATGTAGTACTTTTTAATCAGATAGGAGGATGAAATGTTCATTGGCAGCAAGTAGATTTTGTTTTCTAAGCCACTAGCTTCCTGCTACAAAAAAAAAAAAAAAATCCTTGGCTGTAAGTAGATCTTATTTTCTGAAACAATTGCATAACTGCTTGTGCTACCACATCACAGCAGTACCCTTAGAGACTTGGCTGTTAATGGAAAACCAGTTTAGTAAAGAAGCTTGGGTTCTCTTTTGAAAAGAGCCCTAAAATTCTATCATTATAGGTCTTAAAGGAAGAAGAAAACAGAGAGAATCTGGTTCTTCTCTGACTGCTGATTTTACACTACAAGGACCTACATCCATGAGTGTGAAATCTGCTGATAGCCTTTTTCAAATGAAATCGTCTGCACTTTAAATATCAGCTTTTGCTTTGCTTGTGAAACTCATTGCCTGGGAATGTTTATGCCATGTAAAACCTTCTTGACACTTTCTAATGCTTCTCCAACACCAGCTACTCACTGGCCATGTATTGGCCTGCATTTCGCAGAGACAGTCTTAAACTACGGCACTAATTTCAAAAATGTTTTCCTGATATCGTTTGTTCCTAATGTTTTTATCTGTAACCTTTTGTCAATTGTCAATTGAATTTATTCTCAGTGCTAAATCTTCCTACGAAGCTTTTTCTCTTTGTATATTGATTGTCCTGGCATGCTGCCGTTACCTATGATTTTTTACAATGCTCTGCTGTAGATTTTTCACAGCTTAAGTAATTATATTTTTGTTATAGATAGTCAGAATTTCGCACTGTGATCTCCTGATATTTTCATTCAGTAAGAAAAGGTTTCTTGGTTCTTGTGTTTCTTATGTCTATGGAATAATGGAAGATGCTCCAAAAGCAAGTGTCTTCTTTACATCCTCAAAATGATTGTTTTTTAATTTCATATTGGAATTATGATTTTCAAGAGGTTTTGGCACTCAATCATGGTTTAGTTAAGTACGATGATGCCTGCAATCATGATAAATAGAGAACAGATTAGTACATTTTTCTTATCTCGGGTTATTATCTGTTTTATACTCAAAATAGTGGCAGTAAAATTGACCTATAATATCTGTAAATGGGAAGATTCATTTTCTCACCATACTTATCTTGGATGTTCATATTAATGTACTCATTATTACCATTTCATCCTTCGTTCTAGGCAAACAAGAAGTTTTCCCCAGGCTGGTTGAATCCAATTCCAGAAAGAGGTGTTTCCCATTGACAGCATTATCTTGCCTTCGATCCACTTCTCCCTGAGATGCTTGCTGAGATTGCTGTTGACTGGTTGTAAAATTTTTTGTTTATCCAATCATGTGAGTTTGAGCAAAACTCAACTGCTGGATGGCTGTGCTAGTTTGTATATCAAAGTTTCCTATGTACTTAAATATTACTCTGCATATCACTGACCTAGTGATCTTACTAGATCTAAATCTTGGGAGCTTTTGTGCAGGTTCTTTGTATCTTCGTCACCCTCATCTATATTTCTATGGTTCTATATACCTCTTTCTCCTTCAAACCTCTATAATTTTTTTGATTAAAAAAAATTAAATAAGAGCCAACCCCTTCGACCCATTTCTTTTTCCTACAGAAGATGTAAAGGTCCCTTCCTTCATTTTCAGACCCTTCTTGCAAAATTTTGTCAAATGGAGCAAGTCCCTTGTCCTTTCTTCTTGAATTTTTCTTTGGTCTTCCTAATTTCACTTTTAACCTAGGTGGTTCAATCGGATCAATGCCAGTGACTGACCATATTTCCTTGCTTCTCGCCCGTGCCGAGTAGACTTTGCATGGGATGTCTGAAAGATTCCATGTTTTGCATATGCACGTTTTCTATTTATCTAGCATGTCTCTTTTCACCTTCGATAACCTAATAACTTCAGTCACCGTTTCAATCTACGAAATATAAGATGGTATCGACCTTTTTCCTCGTTTACCCATGTCATTGTTTGGGGTGAGATTTATTCGTCCGCCTGTGGAGATAATTTTATAACCGTCCGCTCGTATCTCATCTAGAATGGTGGTGATTGACTTGCATCTTTTATTCAGAATTCAGCCACTAGACATTTCTGCATGTTGTTGTCAACAATGTCTCACTTTGAAAATGCACTAAAAACCTTTTTCTTCTCCGTCAACTCTTTTCGAAATATAAAAAATTCGGTTAAATTTTTAATTTATTATTTAATTTTATTAAATTAAATATTATATTTACTAAGTAATGAATTTTATGTTTTTGGCTGATATTCGAGATCACGACTTGTAACTTTTAAGTAGAACGTAAAGACTTTGATTGAATTTGCAAAGGTTTTGATAGGATAATATTCATAGAGTTAATATATGTTAATATCTTATTAGCCTTGGAAAGATAATTATTGTGTAAAGTTTGACATATTTTTTTACAGTGAAAATTTGGATTTAGGTTGAGATATTATATATATTGTGTCTTTATGTAATTATAGTAAAAAAAAATAAAACCATTTTTTTAAAAAAATTACACACTATAATTTTTTATTTCTATATTTATCAAAAATATATTTTGAATTTTTGACTATTATTAAAAAATAATTAATTTGTAAGTATTATTTATATACAAGTGAAATTTAATTATTAAAATTTATGAATTTATATTATAATCATTAGTTTTTCAAAAATAAAAAATGACCAAGATCACTCAAGTCAAAGAAGAGAACATTGACTAATTATGCGTACGTGTCAGATTACGATTGGTTCACGCTCTTAGTCTTTGACCCAATCAGAATCCGCCACGTTTCATTTCTCCTAAATATACTGCGTCGTTTTGACTCTGCAATAAATTCGGAAAGATTTTCTTACCAAATTCCATTTCTGTAGATTTCTCTGTCTTTTTCTTTTTCTTTCTAGTTTCTAATGTCTGAGACTCTCGTATTCATATTTTCACTCTCTGAATCTCAACAATGGCGGCACCAACAAAAACTCTCCTCCTCCTCTTATTTTCGCTTCTTCTCGTTTCGTTCTTCCCCCAACAATCATCGTCTTCTCCGTCATCACCTTCCGCCATCGATGACAATCTCGAAGACGACATCGCGTTTCTTGAGTCCGAAGAAACCGAATCCTCGACGACTCGTGATAATTACGAGAACTACGACGATCTCAACGGCGAAGATCGCAATCATGGTCGTGGAACGGCGTCGCTGTGGCCGAGCCAGGAAGAGGAAAAGGACGTGGTGGTGTTGAAGAAGGATAACTTCAGCGAGTTTTTGGAGACGAACGGGTGCGTGATGGTTGAGTTTTACGCGCCATGGTGCGGGCATTGCCGGATGCTGGCGCCAGAATACGCCGCGGCGGCGACGGAGCTAAAGGGAGTAGCGGCGCTGGCGAAGGTCGACGCGACGGAGGACGGCGAGCTGGCTGAGAAATACGAGGTTCAAGGGTTCCCCACTGTGTATCTGTTTGTTGATGGAGTTCGCTTGGCTTACGAGGGCGAAAGAAGCAAGTAAGTTTAATATACTCTTAACCTGTGTGTATAAATATATATATATATATATATATATATCTTATTCAAATTATATTATTTTCTCCAGTATTTACGTCATATTGAATAATATTTACGTCAAATTTAATTTTTTAATTAATAAATTCAAAATATAAAACAAAAAAAAAAACCACTTAGACTAAGTTTTTTTTAAAATTTATTTACTTTTTATTAAAATAATTAAAAATTAAAATTATTAAAAATAATTTAAATATTATTTCAATTTAATACGTAATGTGTGTGTGTGTGTGTGTGTGTGTGTGTATGTATATATATATATATGTGTGTGTGTGTAAGTTGTATTAAATCTTGGATGGCTTGTATGATTTATTTGCAGGGATGCAATTGTTGCTTGGGTGAAGAAGAAAACTGGACCTGCCATTTACAATATAACTACGACAAGAGAGGCAGAAGAAATTTTGGCTACTCAGCCTAAAGTAGTTCTAGGGTTCCTTGATTCCTTAGTGGTATTCATCTTTCTTTTTTATCAGTTCTAATCTTGTAAAATTAAGACATATTACCACACAATAAGATTATTTTATTCTCTTGCACTGTTCTTCTAGGGTTCGGAGAGTGAGGAACTTGGTTTTGCCGCCAGATTACAGGACGACGTAAATTTTTATCAAACTATTAATCCCGAAGTTGCGAAGCTTTTCCATATTGATCTGATAACAAGACGTCCTGCTCTAGTCCTGCTGAAGAAGGAAGATGAAAAGATTAGCCACTTCGGTTAGCTTCTTTTTTGTTCGTTTTTTTTTTTTTTGCTTGTGGCTTTCGAAGTGTTTGGGGTTTTGAGTTTTTGGCTTCTTTTTCCAGTTAATTAACAGCTGACGGATGCAATCTTTTTCATGTCTGCAGCTGGTGAATTTTCCAGATTGGCAATAGCTGAATTTGTGTCAACCAACAAGTTTCCTTTGGTGATAAATTTTAGTAGAGAAACCAGAGATTTCATATTCAAATATTCACCAAAAGGCAAAGTAAGACGTTCATGTTTAACTGTAGAAAATTGTTTTAAATGAAAACATGACATATTTTGACTAATGTTTGGTAAGATTGAAATTAGATATCGAAAGTATAAATTAAGAAAAATGAAAAGTTTATGGCACCCATTTCATATTTTCATAATAATTATCCAGGGTTTTTTTTCGTTTTTCAGAACTATTCTTATATTCATGTACAAATATGTATGAACTTACCAAAAGATAACTCAAAACCGTCTTTTCTGGGAAAGAATTATTAATCAGGGAGTATAATTTCCAATTTCAATTGTTTGATCTTCTGTTATTTTCTTCTCAGCTGTTGCTTTTCGCCACTAAAGATGATTCAGAAAAATTCATCCCCATGCTCAAAGAGACGGCTAAAGCTTACAAGGAAAAGGTATTTGTATAATTTCTTGGATACCCGTTGTATTGCTGGTTGCAAAAGGTTTTCCTAGTTACACTGTCTCGTTTAGTGCTAAGTTTTAAAGCTACTAAGCATAGTATTGGACGCTACTATGGTAACTTATATTGTAACTTACAATAAATAAACACTACTAAAGATTCATTGTCCTGTTGATTAACAGTTTTAAGTTGCCTTCATTATCTGCTTCTCACTTTCTCGAAGAGATCTTATTTTCAGAGAGCAAACTAGCCAAGTGCCAAATCTGATTCTTTTCTAATTCTTGCCACATAGTTTGTTTTCGTCTACGTTGAAATGGACAGCAAAGATTACGGGCTTCAGCTTTCAAATTACTATGGAGTTTCTGGAGATGCACCAAGAGTGAGTTCTACCAAAACCAAATCTTTGTTATGCCAGTTGTTTCTAAGTTTACCTTTCAAGAATCTGATTCTGATGTATAGCTGGAGTTTTAATTGTCTGTTTTTTTTTTTCTCTTGAAGGTTCTTGTATATACAGGAGGTGATGATCGGAAGAAATTTGTATTGGATGCCGAATTGACCTCAAGTAGCATTAAGGTTTGAACTCATCAACTATTTTACGTCCCAAGCTTGTTTGGTTGCACTTCACTCCAGATTCTGATGTTTTCCTAATCAGTCTTACTAAAAGTCAGAACCAATTTTCTATAGTCATTTGCAGCGGATTTCTTGGCAGACAAGCTTAAGCCTTTCTATAAGTCAGACCCAATTCCAGAAGCAGTAAGCTTTTAAATATTATATTACATTTAGCTCAGAACCAATTTTATTCAGACCAGTTTTGTTTACATTTTTACTTAAACAATGATGGAGTTGTATTTTCACCAAAGAGTAGAAAAAAATACTTAAAACTGAATTGAACATAGAACTCATTTTAAAATTAGAATATTATTTTAATTTAGATTCTTATCTCATTTTTTCATTTTTATTCTTAGTCTGTAGAATCCAAAATTAAACAAAAATCCAAACTAGCGTATTGGTAACAGATCTGATTGATATACATTCTTTTCACATATATTCTTACATCAATACTTTTGTTCTTTTCATATATTGATTGATGTACAGAATAATGGAGATGTTAAAGTGGTTGTTGGTAAGAACTTCGATGAAATTGTGTTGGACGAGTCGAAAGATGTTCTTCTTGAGGTAATTTTTTTTTAGTGAATTTAGGTTAAACATTGATCTCTAAGTCATCCTATTCTGCTTTTTTTGTTTATAAATGACTGTAGTCACGAGATTTGATTTTGGGTTTTCAGATATATGCACCTTAGGTGTGGGCATTGCCAAGTTATGGAGCCAACCTACAACAAGCTTGGGAAATACTTAAGAGACACTGACTCACTCGTTATAGCTAAGATGGATGGCACCACCAATGAGCACCCTAGGGCTAAGGCAGTTACCTCTAAAATCTCTTCAATCTTCAGCCTGATTTTGAACTGAATTCTACATTTTCTTTTCAAATTGTTAGATTTATTTACCTATTTTTCTTTTGACAGCATCATTTGAACTCCGATCTTTAGATCTTGTTTTGTTGATTTTGTTTCAGAGTGATGGATTTCCCACACTTCTCTTCTTTCCGGCTGGAAATAAGAGCTTTGATCCGGTTTGTTCAACTCACAATTTCTATTTTTTCTATTCGGTATTTTAATTTATTTACCTGATGATGTAAAGAAATTTGGTAAACCGAGTTTATTACTTACAAAAATTTTAACACAATTTTTTAAAAATAATTTTTTAACGTGATCTTTGCTTTTGTGCAGATCACAGTAGAAACTGATCGAACAGTGGTTGCATTCTACAAGTTCCTCAAGAAGCATGCATCTATCCCTTTCAGACTCCGGAAACCAGACACAACTAAAAGTTCAAAGAGTGTGGATTCCTTTACAAGTGATGATAGCAATGATAACGATGTGAAAGATGAATTGTAATACTCGAATTTGCGAATGTTATAAAATTAGAAGCCTACTTCTAACTTGACATATTTGTGGAAAACAACATGACATTGCTTGAATGGCTGTTCTTGTGGCAAACAGCAATTTTGCTCCTTAGCTTAAAAAAAAATAATGAGATCGCTTGGAGAACATGTCTTAGTTATCATAAATTAAATCACAGGAAAGGATGAAAGATTGAAATCACACTTATCTACACATCGAAAAACTACTCAATAAAGCTCTTCCCAAGGATTAATTCATAAATTCGGCGTAAAACTCATATAAAGAATCCCAAATTTCATGACAACAATTAGTTCAACTGGTAAGTGATCGAATTTCTTCTTCGCCGGAAAAGGTCTCACAGTGCATAACAATTGACAAAAAATTACACTTAATAGTTATAAAAGGATTAGTTCTTTCTACATCTACCAAAGATGATGAAAGTCAAGTCTGCAGTCAAACCTGTTCTTGCATAAATTTGGGATCAGACCCAAAGACATTCAAAGCTCAAAAAGAAGTGTCGTAAATGAGGCTAATGAATCAAATTGCTCGAGCTCATCTGGTCAAGTCCAATGGAAAATGACTATCTAGGTTGCCCCTTACTAATTTTTTGTTTGCCAAAAAATGCAAAGGCTAATATAAACTTGTTGGCGAGTAATGTACCAATAAAAAGAGGCTAGAGAATAAATTTTGAACAGTAAATTCTTTTGTTTGGATGATATTTCCTAGGAAAATCCATGTCAAACAAACATTTTGCCGGTTTGTTTTTTGGGGGGGGGGGCGAATTATACAACATTGTTGATAATATAATCCAAGAAAGAACTGCTGAGCTAAGCTCCTGCAACTTACCAGATAAAAGATTAAGCCTATCAGCTCCAATCTTTCAGAAGTATATAAGTTTTATTTCTTTCTTCCCTTTCAATTTTGAAACGTTTATACCATTCTAAGCTCTTTTAATGGGAATATTTTTCAAACTTTGCTTCCTTGTCATTCTACCTCTTTCACTTTTTGGATTTTATATCATCTCAAGACTCATCACCATCTCCATTTTTACAACCTTCTAACATCTCCAATTCTCCTTCCCCATTACCAACATCACCGTCTCCATCTCCATTTTCACAGCCTCCTGACATCTCCAATTCTCCTTCCCCGTTACCCAAATCACCATCTCTATCTCCATTTTCGCAGCCTGGTAACATCTCCAATTCTCCTTCCCCAATATCCACACCGCCATCTCTGTCTCCATCGCCTTCCTCGCCGCCAACATCCCCGTCTCCAGCCAGCTTGGAACCCCTTGTCCGAGGAGCCTTTTGGGTTGGCGGACTATCCAGCGGACGGAATTCTAAGATAATAATCGGAGTGATCCCAGCAGCTCTCGGCGTATGTTTGGCTGGGTTAATATGGAGGAAACACAGGATGGATAATATCAGAAGGCGGAGGCAAGTGTATGCACTGCTGGGAAGGAGACCAAATCTTTGAGTTTGCTGTGATTTCCTCCCAATCTATTTTGGAGGATAATTGTACACTTTTTTTGCTATCCTACTTTTCATGTGTCATTTTGCTTCTGTCATTTCTAGATTCGTTGCTGAAATTCTTGTTTATCTATCCAAGCCGGAGTTGAAAAGAGCATGATACATTTGATGGTACTGACACTTCAAAAGATCATGTTTGGAACAAATGGATACTGCTGGTGAAAACCATTTAAAAACTCTACAGTTACTTGGAAAGAGTGGATACTTGTTACAAAATGTTAAAAATTGAGCTCTAACCCAATTTCAACTGGAATCATATTATCTTAATTTCACTTAAAATAGTTTACGAGCTCAATTTTATGATAGGGAAAACACTGATGGAAGTACCATACAGGTCCTAAACAACTAATAGCTTGTGGAAAGATCAGTTCTGTTGCTCACTATCACCAGACCGACGATATGGCATGTACCTGTGATCTTTTGAAGCATTCTTCCTTCTTCTTTTCTCAATGAAGGATTCGAGCTTTCCAGATGCCTGGTCATTTGCATTAGAGTTATCAGCAACTAGTTAAAACAGTTATTATGAACACTGACTAACAAGAGAAGTCAAATATATACCTTGAGACTGTTATACTTCTCAATAAGCCTTTGCTTCCGGATTTCCGCTGCAAAGTGAAGAACCATGTCAGCGTCTTTGCAAACCAGTGTGTGCTTCTTTACTTAAGATAATGACCATCCTACAATTGCAACTTCTAGAGAATAGGGAAACAAATGGATGTCTTTCTTCATACCAAAATTAGGGAATCACACTCAAACTTAAAAAGTGCCAGAGAATAGCCCTAAAGGACATGTCTTTAGTACTTGTATCAACCAATGGTTAGATGACCAACAATCTAAAGTCAACAGACAAGTCTTACCAGCATTCAGACCACCATATTCAATGTTGCCAGAAACTACAATACTCCCACAGAACTAACGTGATTAATCCCAAACTCAACCTATCATTATCACTAGCAACCACAGCACTTCCATGTGCTTGAACTTGATATTCAAACCCATGCTTTAATATCACATTTAGTTATCATGTTCAAACAGCAACTTCACTTAAAAACACCAAAATCATACAACCCCAGCATTTTCAACACCTATGTCACCAAATATTTATGAAAATTCCTAAATGACCAAATATTGGGCCATAAAATCAAGTACAAGCTAGTGGTCACAGTCATAGATGTAGATTTGGGATGCACATTACCAATAGTGCTTCTTAATTAGTAAGTAGCTCCTCAGCAAACAAGGCTGAACGTGAGCTTGAGAAAAAGACGGTATGGAGAGAGTTTGCCATGGAAGTCCATGAAAGAGGGTTAAGACAAATAGTGCTAACAAGAGAATGAAAAAACCATTACATTTTTTAAGATAATAAGGTCGTTTCCCATGCTTCACTGCTTCTCTCTCTTTCTTCTTGTGCTCTGCTAATATTGCTATATCAGTATGCTTTCTTGATTCAAATTTCAACTGCTTATCCTGAAAAATTGAGCCGAAAAGAAGAAAATTCCAATAAATTAGATTCATTGACATATCTAGTGTTAAATCAAAGATTCCTCTCAAAAGGGAAGCCCTTACAATCCAAGTTATACGATGCTTCAAATTGTTGATCTCTTCTGGGTGATTTATTTTCTTTAATCTCTTCTTTAGCTCCTGTTTATCCAAATGAATTGTGAGAGAAAAATAAATAGATGAGTAGATATTGATAACAACATTCCATATTTAAAGGTATATAGAACATTGCCTCTCTTTCAGCAGGAAGATTGTTTTCAAAAAGAAAGTCATATCTCTTCCGAAACCTGCAAGAA